ATGCAAAATGATATATATGTGATTCTGTGCACAGGTGCCTCCCTGTAGCAGTATATATGCTATAGGGCGGTCCAGGGGCGGACTGACCATTTGGAAACTTGGGCACTGCCCGAGGGCCCAGGGTCAGTAGGGGGCCCCATGAGATGCCGCTGGTACCTTTTCATAGGCTTTTTTGAGTTTGGACAAGGACACAGGGGCCCCATGATCCCCTATTGCCCGGGGGCCCCATGAGTTGTCAGTCCGCCCCTGGGGCGGTCCTTAAGCTGTTAATTGGAATAATAAAATGCAAACATTAGTCTTAAAGGCCCACTAAATGTCCTATTAAAGAGCAAGGAATGGCTTATATCTAACAGTTGTTTAAAAAATGCTTCAGCTTGTCGGAATTAAAAATTTGAGACTTTTTATTGTCAAAATGTTATTTAGTGTCCAGTCATCTTACTGTAAAGACAATGGGGTTGATTTACTAAAGGTGAATATACTATGCACTGCACTTGCAGTTGCTCCAGAAATTAGTTAATGAGGTAAATATTCACTTTGCAAAGAATACCCAATCACATGCAAATAAATAAAAACAAAAAACAGCATTTTTGCTTGCACATGATTGGATGATAGAAATCAGCAGAGCTTCCTCTCATTTTAGAGCTTCCCCTCAGATCTAGAGCAACTGCATTTGCAGTGCGCTTACAGTTTGCCTTTAGTAAATCAACCTCAATGTGGTCAGTCTACTCTAAAAGGCAAACAAAACTGGTTACAGTTTGCAACACAACACGTAAAAGATTGCTTATGTCTTAGTAATCCTAGCTGTATGACAAGTACTTTTTCTAAATAAAATTCAGATTTCAGCATTTTAGACGTTTGTTGCATCTCAGTGCTTCTCATCTCCTTCAAGTCTCTTTACAGCCACTTCCTATTTGCATGCATAAAGTTCACCAATTGCTGATGTTTCCTGAAGGTGACAATAGTTGAGCATGCTGCATATCAACACAATCACTTTTGACCCGAAAAGCTTATGAAAAGGTGACAACGCAGGAGCAAAACTGGGAGACAAGGAAAGATGTTGTCACTCTATAATTGGAGTGCTCAAACAAGGACCTTCATGGAAGGATCGGCAGGTATTATTTTAATAAAATTTGCAGATTCTAAAAATATTATTAATTATTATTAAATAAATTACTTTTGAAATTTCTTTCAAATGCTAAAGCTTATATGAGAATTAAGTGACTGGGTGTTTGAAACAATTTAACATATACTGTATATATAGGTTTATCAGATATACTGTATGTCCTTTCACAGTGATACAAAGCTGGACTGAGATCAGAAAGCTGCAATGGAACATAAAGCACACCGATCAACATTAGAATATAAAAATAGATTTTGCCACACCTTTTGAAGCAAATGGAAACTAGTTGCCTGGCACTACTACCAATCCAGTATTATGGAAAGTATATAGACTGTGGAGATTACTGATGTATCACTTCTGTGCAGACTATATAGGTTTACTACAACTTAAATCTACTCTCAGATAGACCAGCCTTTCTTGCAAATGCCAGGATTATCAGATTGCCTGCTCTAGGTCTAGATTTATTAATGTTATTGTACAGGATTTATATAGTGCTGTCAGTTGGCACAATGCTTTACAAAATAAAGGGAGGCAGTGCAGTTACAACACAATATAAGAGGGTTAGGAGGGCCCTGAATCAGGGGCGGACTGACCATTTGGAAATTAAGGCACTGCCCGAGGGCCCGGGGTCAGTAGGGGGCCCCATGAGATGCCCCTGGCACCTTTTTTAGAGGCTTTTTTGAGTTTGGGCAAGGATACAGGGGCCCCATGATACCCTATTGCCCGGGGGCCCCATGAGTTGTCAGTCCGCCCCTGCCCTGAATATAAGAGATAAAAATCTAATAGAGTGGGGCAAGTGGTACAAAATGAGATAACTGTAAGGGATGAGCTGATGGAAAATGTAAAAGTTTAGTTGTTAGGTGGAGGCTAGTTAGGTTTCCCCGAAGAGATGAGTTTTGGGGATCACCTACAGGTGGACAATGTAGGAGATAGCTAGAGAGAGTGAGGCACAGAGATAGAGTTTCACAGTATAGAAGAGGAGGAGATAAGAGAGCAAAAGGTCTTGGGAGCAGAGAGAACGATTTGGGTGATTGGGCAGAGTTGTAGATGGCTTTCTATGTTGTTGTTAGTATTTTGAATTTTATTTGTTGAGCTTTCAGAAGCAAGTGCAGGGATTGGCAGGGAAGGGTGGTGGACACTGAGTGGTTGGTAAGATGGATGAGTTTGGTGGCAGTATTCATGGTAGACTGCAGGGGAAATTGGCCTACGAAGCCTACCAGGAGGGAGTTGCAATAGTCAAGGTAATGGATCACAATGGAGTGAATGAGTAACTTGGTGGTTCATTGGTTAAAATGGAGTGTATTCTAGGGTTGCTACAAAAGTGAAGTATACAGTATTTAGACACCAATTGGATTTGGGTTGAAAGGGCAGGTCAGAGTATAGGATTAGACCTAGTACCCTGGCATAAGGGGAGTGGACTGATAGTTGTATTATTGATCTTGATTGAAAATCAAGGGTGGAGTGCACAGATGGGTGGGGATTCATGAGCTCAAGTTTGGAAAGATGTAGTCTGAGGAAGTGATGTGCCATCCATACTGATATTTATCATTACAGTACTGAATCCTACAAGGGTTATTTTAAACACAACTGAAACAATACAAATTGTACACATTAATATATATTTTTTCTTGTGAAGTACATTTTATCTTATATTTTTACAGTGTACAGTAATACAGATTTGTACTATATGTTTAGCTATAATTTTGTTTTTACTGTGATACTTGAAAAGCTGTCATTTAGCTGCTTTTATCTCTTAGAACTTATTCTTAATTCCATGGTGTAAAATTAATAAAACAAAATACCATCATTACTAAAAAGTATAATCCTGCCACTACTTCATCCGCCTCTCCAGACTGTGACCTTATTGGCTACATTAACACAGGACAATTCCCTCTAATTGTCAAAAGAGAATCCTTTGAAAAGTTCACTAATATGCACTGATGGGTTCTTGTCTATTTATCAACTTTGCTTCATAGTCATTGTTAGTGTATTGAGAGCCAAAGAAAAGAAGATTAATTACCATTCACTGAGTCAGAATAGGCTATGTATTAATTTGAATCTGTGCTTCCACGAACTGTACTAGCCTAATTTTGTGAATAGAGTCAAATGTTTCACAAGTCATTATCTTCTATTATATGAGGTTAATATGTGTCATTATCATTAACTTTTATTACTTAAGTTCACACAAGGTCACCTATTGACTTGAATCACACAAACAACTGAAATATGTTTTAAGCTCAGGGAAACCCTTGCATAGGCACTAATGCTTCTGTATAAGATAAATGATAATTCATAAAGTTGTATTAAAGTTAAAATGAGTTTTTCTTTAAACGAAGAACTTCATAAAGTCTTCATAGGTAGAGTATTGTGAGGTAATGATATTGATCATTTATACCATAGATAAAATTGGATCCTGCTTTAGTTCTGCATATCCACAACAGCCTTTTGGCATCTACCATCCACTACTAATGAGTGAAGCAGTTTGCTATTTTTAAATATAGATTTTTGTGGACCCTCTAGAGGGTATTTTTGAGCCCACCTCACCCAAAAAAAAAAGCTGAGGGGTGTGGGGTAGGAGGGCTAAAATGTTTATTTATATTTCATCTGGCACTCCTTTAAATGTCACTTTTCTACTTATATCAATATTTCCATATTAACATATTTCACAGTCAGACAACCAACATATTATTATTCAAATTGTATTGACAGGTTGATAGAGATGGAACATGACATTAATTCTATGCATAGTTTCTTCGGGAGAGGTAATGTTTCTCATCAATTCTCTACTCCTTGCAATACAGGGGTGCTTTGTATCTATGTGGAATGTCTTTTTCCATTGGATATCCAGTATTCTTGCTATTAATGTAGCATTGCCATGTCAGGATTTATGAAATATGTGTGGATTTTGAGACCTGGGAGTGTGAGAAATGAAAATTTCAGGTCAAGTGACCAAGACCTTGAAGGTGTATTTCTCCTAAATGGTTTTATGATAGCCATGTAAATATGTCTCTTCTGCCCTCCATTAGATGCTGTTATGTCATTTTGTCAACATTTTATGACCAGCTAATAAAAGTATTTGCTTATCATTGCACTGGCTTTCCAGGTGCCCTACTAATGGATTTACCAACATCCAATTAGCCATTCATAAAAAAAATACCCCAAGGGGTGTTTATAGACTGCTCATTGACAGTCAGAGTCTGGATTTTTGGTCCTGCTGTACTGTTTGTGTTCACTTTGATTGTGTTAGTTATAGATTGGTGAGATGCATTCCATTAATCTACTTGTGCTAATGGCTGTGATCTGGGGGAGAATTAGAGGAAAGTGCTAAGCTTTTGGTCCCGTCCGCACATGAGTTTGGACCAAACTTTGCTTATTCAGGCATTTGTCAGAACAACTCTCATCTAGGATAGGGGTCTTCTATAGATGAATGGTATTCCTGGCTGCTTTGTTTAACCACTTGCCCTCCAGAGGAATTACCCCCCTTCCTGACCAGGCCATTTTTTGTGTTATGGCGCTGCGTTACTTTAACTGACAATTGCGTGGTCATGCAATGCTGCACCAAAACATCCTTTACCACGAATTGAGCTTTCTTTTGAAGGTATTTCATCACCTGTGCGGTTTTTATTTTTTGCACTATAAAAAAAAATAGACCAACAATTTTGAGAAAAAAACAATATATTTTTTGACTTTTTGCTATTAAACATGTCCTGTAAAAAAATTTAATAAATCAAATTTCATCATATATTTACACCAAAATGTATTCTGCTACGTTTTTGCTAAAAAAAAAAACCCAATACGTGTAAATTAATTGGTTTACATGAAAAATGGCAGTATATATACTGGAATTTTTTTTTTCTTTTTTACTAGAAATGGCGATAATCAACGACTTATAGCGGGACTGCGGTGGGCATTCTGACACTGGGTAGAACTGACTTGGTGTCACTGACATCTCCAGTGACACCAATACAGTGATCAGTGCTAAAAAAAAGCACTGACACTATACTAATGGCACTGGGCAGGAAGGGGTTAACATGAGGGGCGATCAAAGGGTTAACTGTGTGCTGAGAGTGTTTCACTGGGGCGGCGGTGTGTTGGTATTTCACTGTAAGCACACTGCTCTGGATGGCTGTGCTGTGCACAGCCATCCAGAGCAGTATGCCCGAGCCTACAGGGAGGAGGACTGTTAGTAAACAAAGCAGCCCTCCTCCCCGTCGGAGATCCTCGGTAATCACCGGCTGCTGGCCGGTAATCACTGGCCGGGACCCGGTGATTGACAGCTGCGGCCGTGAATGGCAGCGCGGGTAGGGCATGTGCGCGGCTCACGCGCACCCCCTACCCACAAACACTAATGTATATGTCATGTAAATATATGTGTTTTTGCACACCCCTGATGCCCTGTAGCAGTATATCTGCTCTAGGGCGGTCGGGATGTGGTTAAAAACAAAACAGCCATAAGCTGTCATTGTGCCAACTTTTTGTGCCAATTTACAACTGCCGAAGAAAATCCCTTTGCCACTCACATGGTGGAAAACACAGTTGTACAGAACAGTGATCTAGTCTATCACCGTGAGAAATATATGAATAACACCATGCAGTTGGCCTCATATTATTCACTTAAGGCACAGATCATGTTTAGATAAGGTATAAACTAATTCCAACGCTCTCCATGACTGTGTGATAGCAAAAAAGTAATAAATATACAAAAACCAGTTTGCTATGTTTATTGGAGGCAACAGAGATGTTATTTAATGGAGTTTTGTGGTGTTTATGTTTTGCTTTAAGCAGTACTAAAAGCACTGCTTCCAAACAAACAAAAAAAAAAATGAAAACTTTTTTTTTGCTTCGGTAAATGTTACATATGGCAATGTCCAGCCACACATGTCATTTGTTTGACAATCCCTTGCCTATTAGCCTATAAAATGGGCATAACCATTTAATTTTAACATTCTGGGTTCAAAACAAACAAACAAACAAAAGAATTCCCAGCACACTTACCAGCTAGCCTTCAAAAAAAAAGAAAGAAAAAAACACAAAATGGCACTTTGTAACAGTTTACATCAAAAGCACAGGTTTTAGTTGCCCACATTTGCAAATATATGTGGAAGCTGCACTGCCTCACCAAGGACTCTCTGTAAAGTGCAGTCTTAACTCTATAATTTGAGAGTCTCCAAGCTGGAGCATATACAGCAGTTGGTGAATTAAGAGCTGGCAAAGTGAGAAATACAAATATGGCATGAGATAAAAAAAAGTCAAGATAGAGCATAAAAGTATATAATATAATAGACAGTGAGAAAGACTGGGAGAAAAAGGAAAAGTAATAGAGAGAGATAGAAAGACAGTGGAAAGAATAAATGGAGAGGGAGAGAGAGCAATTGAAAAGAAAAAAAAAACAATGCGTTTGATGATAGCAAGAGAGAGACTATGAGGAAGAAAAGGAGAGGGGACAAGGAAGGGCAGAGCGAGAGAAAAGGTTAGAGGGTAAAGCCAGACATACATGAATTTGGCCATTCAGCAGGGACCGGCCAAGACTCAATGCATGTATGGGCAGGCTGGTTGTACCCAAGTCCATCTATCAATTGACTTGGGTACATCCAGCCTGTGTGATTTTTTTTATCTTCAATTACTGCCAGTGCCTATAGCCACTAGGAACAATTACTGTGTTCTGCTAGCTGAGAAGGCTCCCTGTGCCCCACCTCTAGCAGGACATAATAACACAGCAGCAGGTATTCAGGCAGGCAGTGTTGATGGGGGATTGAGCTATTTTCTTTCCTTCCACCATTGGTGGAAGGAAAGAAAATAGGGTTATCTATGGGCTGTCTAAGAAATACAGTGTACATCTAGGGAGAGATAGAGAGAATGAATGTGGGATACAGAGAATGAAAAACAGAGACAAAACCAGAAACAACATCAATTAAACAAAAAGTGAGATAAGGTGAGAAAAAGTAAAGGAAGAACAAAGAAAGATAATAAAAGAAAGAAAGATACAAGAAATATCAGAGACAGAGAAAAAAACACAAGGTGGAGTAAGCAAGTGAGATGGAAAAAGAGAGAAAGGCAGAATGAAGGAAGAAAACGAGATAAAAAGAGGCAAAGATGAAACAGAGCAAAACTCTGTGAAAGATAAAGAGAGACCAAAAGAGAAAAAAAAAGAGAGAGAAAGATGTAGTGAAAGTAAGAGAGAGGCAGAGGAAGAATGTAAGATTTCTTAAATTGCAAAACTTCCAAAAAGAGGCCTCAAGGTACCTAAAAGTATATACAATCAAACGAAAATACATATTCCGGGAGTCCCTAGACACCAAGCCAATGAGAAACCAACAGAACTTTCCTGCATGGAACATGAGTTTTTCCCTGATGGGTATTTGCCTACTTTGGACCTGTGGAGTGTGGTACAATTTTTCGTATTTGTTTTATACTTTTAATTTTGTCTGTAATAAAGACGTTTTTGTGCCCCACTGATCACCTTCTCCTTTGTTTGGTTTATTTTTCTTGAGTATTTATAAATTCCCTATTCCAGTTGAGTCCACAACTAGTTTCTTTTTCTTTTAGTTTCTCAAGATTTCTTATTTGTTGCAAAAGGGCAGCAAAAAAGGCAAAAATTTAGACACACAGATGAAATACATACAGTATATCTGAACTGTTTTACCTACCAAAGGATGTGTATTTCACCCTATCCAATCCTGAGACTTACACAACTCTGCAACACAGCACAGCTCTGTCTAGCAGGGCACCTGATGTTTCTGTGCATTTCACTTTCATTTGTAGGTCGTCTCCCCTTCCCCACCCTGTGACTGGACAGTGTAAGGAGAAGCAGCACATAGATAAGCTCAACTCTCTGTCACTCAGCTCTCTCCTTCTACCAGCATTTCTCCTTGCAGTGCAGCACACCTGACTGGCTCCCTATACTACTTCTCCCTCCGCCTGAGTTTTGCTGTAGAGACTGGACAGGGACTGCAAGGCGCTGACACCAAATCAAATTCAGGTACTTAACTTGCATTTTTAATAAATCCATTTACTAATGTATATATGAATACTGAGATGCATTCATTTGTGATTTTAATATTTCACTGGAGTTCAATTTTAAAAATATAAGACAAATTAAAATAGAGTGTCCTTTACAAACAGACCTTTAGTTTTTTTTGTACTTATTCTCCTTCTAATATAGATGTTTTCAAAGAAATCGCTGCTAAAATGTGAAGCATGGTATATCAAATCTTGCTCCTAACTCCAAAGTAAAAAAAAAAGATGGATGAAGATATATAACCATAGAAGAATATTGCAAATTTATGCATGAAAGGGCCAAATTTATGGGTATTACTAACAGCTATCCATAAGGCTATAGAGATTTTGATAACAAGACAAATGGAAGAGAAGAATGTTTGAAAAATATATCTATACAAAAGAATAAAGAAACAGTTACACAGCTGTCCATCAGTAGCATAAATTACTTGCCCAAAGTGAAACTTCATCATTCTTGTCATAATAAGTGTTTCTCAATGCACTGATATCCCCACTGCTGTCAGACTGAGAAATAAAATATAAAGACATTTCAGAAACCTGCACTTTTATTATGTCATCTGGAAGAAAATCAGAGAAGGAAAAACAAAAACAACGTACACGCTAGTTAAAAATGCAGATTAATGCATATGGGAACATAGCCTACTGAGTGGTTCTGCTTTTTATCCAGCACAGTACACCCCAGCCACCTTTGTGATATGGGTATCCTAGAACAGGGACAGACTGACAACTCATGGGGCCCCCGGGCAATAGGGGATCATGGGGCCCCTGTGTCCTTGCCCAAACTAAAAAAAGCCTATGAAAAAGGTACCAGGGGCATCTCATGGGGTCCCCTACTGCATTTCACACATAGGAAGCTTAAAGCCTGTCACCAACCTATAAATGAAAGTGAAAGCACATAAAATCAAATGTTTTAGATGCTTACTTACCATGTTTTTCTTTTCCAAACATCATTTTATAGTCAAGCAGTATTGAACCCAAAAGCAAATATTTATTATACTGCAGCTTAAAACTTTTAAAATACAATGGCTGCATTTATTTATTTATTTATAGCTTTATTTCCTTTATTTTCATCTGGTGATCCCAGTTTGCTATTTTTCAAAAGAACAAGCTCTTGAAGTTGTAGCTGTTACATGGATGAGACAAACCATTTACCACTGACAGGGGTGTGTACAATGTTCAGTTTTAACTTATATATGCAAAAGCTTTATCCCTAAAGGTAAAAACTGTTTGCTGTAACTTCTTATAAAGTTTAGCTGGAGTGTGGCTCCCCCAGACTGTCAATCCTGCTGTCCAAATGCTGCTTATTCATCCATAGTGGAGGCATTCCAATACAGGAGCTCTGTTACTGGCCAGATCACCAGGTGAAACAGAGGGGGAAAATATAAAACTAATGCAGCCACCACATCTAATTATTGGTAAACTGAAACATTTTCAATTTTGAGGGTTTTTTTTGGAATCAGGTAATTTTTATTAAGCTTTTTTCAGTAACAGAACAAAGGTTCCATGTACACAAATGTTAACAATAAAGACGTATACATTGTGGAAACAATAAAAATAATAAGAAAAACATAAAACACATCACATACCCACAGCTTATTATCTAAACTGACAGTAGACATATACGTTGAACATTTACATGCAAGATGCATGAACAGATCATGCTAAACCGAGTAACATCAAATTCCAATGATGATGGACTGACCACCTACAACACCATATGTTAAATCCTGCTTATCCAACTGAGTGCTCTAAGAAGTATAACCCAGTTAAAGCATTCCAAACTTCAATAAATAACATTGAAATATGAAAATGTTTCTTCTAATTTTCCATCCTTGCACCCCAAAAAGAGGAAGAATGGACAGTTTTGGATTTAATACCACTTTCACTTGCAAAGTGTCTTTGAACTTGCTAGAAAAATTGATTAGTCAGTTCTTTAGCACAGCCCCCTCCCTCCTTGTACATTCTAGTCATCTTCCATATAAAGAGTGTCTATTTACTCTCTGAGCTAGCTTAACACCCCTGCCCCTCACCTGCCAGGGAAGAAGTGAAGGGGAAATCTGCAGCTGCAAGAGAGCTGTGAGGGCCACAAGAAATGGCCTGGCAGGCCAGCTTTGTCCCACAGACCTTGTGTTTGACTCATGTGCTATAGAGTGTCACAGGAGTGACAGATCTAAGCCTTCTGGGGCTAATGACATTACATCCAAGGTGGCTCTGCTGCCAGGGCTGGTGCTTTCACTAGGCAAACTAGGCAGCCACCTATGGTGCACTGCCACCTAGGAGCACCTCTGGCTCA